AAAGAAGTTGACGTCCATAAGCCTCTTTCTTACGCGTCACTTCGAAATATATATTTTTGCACTAGTTATATGGCCAGGCCAATTTGATTTACTTTTTAAGTTTTATTTTCTGTTAAACAGAGTGTAAGCAAGGAAATTTAACTAATAAACGATAAATTGATTTGAGGTTAATTTCCTTATTAATCATCTTGAAATTAAAAAAATCTGATGTAAAAATTTAAGAAGAGACATAAAGACATTTCTTCAAACTTTACATTTAGAGCCAGCTCATCCATGAAACTGGAATAATACTTGATTAGTTTATAATGGAAACCTAATAGCCAATCCATACAATCAGATTTGTTTAAATAAACAAGCAGATGTTCACCCAGCTGTTGTCATGATGACAGAGATTCATGACTTTCAGGGAAGGGTTACCAGAAAAATATGAACATTAACAATGAGCATAGAAAGTAATTTGTTTACAAAACTCTGGAGAGAGTCACGCATACTTCTGTAAAATGTTGATACATTTATTGACAGCATCAACAGTTCTGTTAGTTTTGAAGGGGAGAAAGCTCGGTGGGTCATTCAAGGTGTACAGGCATATTGGTGATAGATAAATATTTGGTTCACTAATTAGTAAACAAATCTTACTGGTGTGAGTATTGCTCACATTTTCATCTGTATGGAATTGTTGCTAAAGTTAATAACAGAGCAGGCTAAAACATTGTGTGATTGATGTTAGTTATTACACATTTTGTTATGATATGAATCAGGCTACCTGTCATCTACAGGCCATTATTGCTGGGTTGCTTAATTACAATTTGTTACCTGTACGACAGGTGAGCACACCAGTGGAGTGACAGCAGTTCTTGGTTTACATGACTGCCTCTGTGGTCCAGTGGTAGAGTGTCCGCCCGGAGAGCGGAAGGTTGTTGGTTTGATCCCCGGCCATGTCATATCAAAAGACGTTAAAAGAGAATGTCCCCTACAGTTGCCGACATCTAGCAATGTCTCCTACAGTTGCCGACATCTGACAATGTCTCCTACAGTTGCCGACATCTGACAATGTCTCCTACAGTTGCCGACATCTAACAATGTCTCCTACAGTTGCCGACATCTAACAATGTCTCCTACAGTTGCCGACATCTGACAATGTCTCCTACAGTTGCCGACATCTGACAATGTCTCCTACAGTTGCCGACATCTGACAATGTCTCCTACAGTTGCCGACATCTGACAATGTCTCCTACAGTTGCCGACATCTGACAATGTCTCCCACAGTTGCCAATATCTGACAATGTCTCCTACAGTTGCCGACATCTAACAATGTCGCCTACAGTTGCCGACATCTAACAATGTCTCCTACAGTTGCCGACATCTGACAATGTCCCCTACGGTTGCCGACATCTAACAATGTCCCCTACAAGTGCCGACATCTGACAATGTCCTCTACAGCAATTTCTCAATATTTTGTCAATATAAACATGTTCTGATACCCTGGCTGAAATGTCTTTGAACTATTTTCATTGAAACATATTCTATCAGGTGATGTCTTTCATAGATGTATTTTATTGTAGAAAGATAGTTTCATCAGCAGATCCTAGATAAAATAGGTAATGTGCTTTAAAAGGTCAAGGAGCGACGTGAGGGTTTGGAGAAAGCTTTATGAGAAACCAAAACATCACTAAGATAGAAAATCAATATTAATTGACAATTTTGATATTTCTTCCAGCAGTGGGTCTATAGTTGTTTGTCAGACTTTGCCATAAATAAATATGAAACAATATGAAAACAAAGTGTTGGAAGGTCAGCAACTATTGCTGTATAAGTCAATGAAAGTGCATGAGTGAATTATGTCGTTTAACGCCACAGTCAGCCCTTCTTCAACGCAGCAGCCCACCTCATCCCACCTGACTTCACCCCACCCCACCCCACCCCACCTCACCTCACCCCACCTGACTTCACCCCATCCACCTCATCCCACCAGACTTCACCCCACCCCACCTCACCTCACCCCACCTGACTTCACCCCATCTCATCTCACCTCATCTGACTTCACCCCACCTCACCTCACCCCACCTGACTTCACCCCATCTCACCTCACCCCATCTGTCTTCACCCCACCCCACCTCACCCCACCTGACTTCACCCCTTCTCACCTGACTCCACCTGACTTCACCCCACCCCACCTCACCTCACCCCACCCCACCTCACCTCACCCCACCTGACTTCACCCCACCTCACCTCATCCCGCCTGACTTCACCCCACCCCACCTCACCTCACCCCACCTGACTTCACCCAATCTCATCTCACCTCATCCCGCCTGACTTCACCCCACCCCACCTCACCACACCCCACCTGACTTCACCCCATCTCACCTCACCCCATCTGTCTTCACCCCACCCCACCTCACCCCACCTGACTTCACCTCTTCCCACCTCACCCCACCTGACTTCACCCCACCTCACCTCACCCCACCTGACTTCATCCCACCCCACCTCACCCCACCTGACTTCACCTCTTCTCACCTCACCCCACCTGACTTCACCCCACCTCACCTCACCCCACCCCACCTCATCCCACCTGACTTCACCCCATCTCACCCATTTTGGCATTAAACTTACAATGGTAGAAAAACGTACAGTGAAAGTCTCCACAGGTTCCCTTCTGAATAGGAAATGTTCAACTTTGTCACTTTCAAATGAAAGGAATAACAATCAGCCTGACATTGAGCAATTTGCCTGTCATACAATGTGCAAAATTAATGCATTAGGAATCCCCCGAGATGTCTGAGATTTGACATTTTCATTGTTGCTATTGTCACTTGCTTCATTAATCCATGTTTTTGTCTCCCACTTTTATTGATTTCAAAATCTCCGCTTCATATTGTAATTCTTATGTGAAAGGTTGTGAAATATAAATCCTATTTTTGTTTTGGTGATCTGTCAATTTTACAATACTTCCCGTCAGGTTATATTTCCTTTCCAATTTTATTTTATTATTTTGATATGGTTAATAAGTGAATAAAATCTTCATCTCATTCATGTAAGAAATAGTCTATGAAAATCATGGCTTGGCTTTGAGACTGATGGAATAAGCAAGAATAATGAACTCAGTATATTTAATAGGAGAGATATGTTCACATATATGATGAAAAACAACCCTCTATACAAACTGGCATCACGATAGATGCTAGATTATTTTTCCAAGGTGAAATTGATAAATCAATACTGCCATTTAAAAAACAACTTTGCCATGTATTTGAGATTCGTGATGTCAGTCTTGACATGACAGGTTTGAGGGAGGAGAGGCCTCCTCGTCATTGAGCTATAAGTTCACATCCAATGGCACAAGTGTATGTGATCTTCCCCAGGCACGGCCAGTGGTAGAACAAGTACTACGGCAGACGCAGCCTACAAATGGTGTTGTGGTATAGTGAAACTCCGAGTCAGACAGTGCGTGCTTCATCCTGCAATACCTCTCACCCAATGTGGATACGCTGTATCCATATGACAGAACCCATCATACACTTCCAACAAAGCCGTTGTGAAGAGAATGGAGAGTAACCATGGCAGGCAGTCCTTGTGAAGCTCCTGATAATTAGCACAGTGATAAACAGAAGTGACAGTCGCTCATGAAGTTGAACAGGATCGAGTTCGTTTGTCGTGGGGTGAATTATGACCTGTTTGTCTTGGATCCAACTCTCACCTGCTTGTTGTCGTGGCTTTAATTAAGACCATCGAACAAGAAGGATTCCAATTTCATTTCACAGGGAGAATTATGAGTCTTTGTTACAACATTTCATTGGAATTGGATCAGTGATTCCTCCTTGTTTTGATGGTGGATCTACAGGTAGATTCATTGATTCTCCTGGCACTCTCCCTCTCTTTACACTGAAGGATATGACTATGCCTGGCAACCCTACAACCACTGCAGGGCTAAACACTGCCATTCCACCGTGCTGCCTCCAGAGTTAGGGGGACAACGTTGGAATAGAATCGTTATTAATTGATTGTGGAGATAATACTCTTTATCAAGGAACATTTTGATATCAGAGCATTTAAGTTGAATTTTGTTAAAATTTTCATTATCATTTTTAAGAGCAATTCAATCAAATATATTGTTGAGGGAGTTTGAAGATTATTATAAGTTTGTTTGCATGATTAAGTTTAGTTTTTAATTGCATTATCAAATATTGACAAAAATAATTATTTCTAACCTAACTGTTGAAGACAAGTTAGAATAAAATGAATAAAATCATGCCCTTTTTCATGAGAAACATCTGTAAGAAGAAGAACCTTTGATGATTAGCCTGAGGTTCTCCCACGAGAAAATTAACATTTGAATGAAAACATTATGAAAGAGCAGTCATGTGTATACCAGCTATATCCGCCTTCACGTTAATTAATATGTCACAAAATCTATTTCCCTCTATGTGAATGCCATCATTGCTATTTTCTGAGACATAACTGACAGTCTGACTCTCGGATCAGTGATCACCACGCACTGGATTCTCAGCCCTGGTTATTATACTTCAAGACACAAAACAAAAAAATACTCGTATTGTTTCTGAAGTTATGAGAGAAAAATGTACATGGACAACTAAACTACTGCCTCTGTTGTTTGATGTGATAACTTAATGTGGTCTGTTGAGTAATAAGCACTGTGCGACCATGCTCCGTCTTACATAAATAGCCGACAGATAATTAATGCCTTTCAGAAAGTCTTACAGGAATATGTAGGTAGGTCTTCCAATTATGGTAAAACTGATCACATCTTTCCATCAAGATGTAATGGATATCGTGAACATTAGCTTAGGAACCAATTATTTGTGTAAATACATTTAGAATTTATTGCCTGATTGATGGCGATATAGATTAAGAAGTACCAAATAATTTCAGAATAATTCATTGTGAAATTAATGATGTAAATAGATTTAACAACAAAGAATATATTTGTGTCGCTGGTTGATAAAGTACGATCAGTTATTTCTTTTCTACTTAATAGTCATTGAGGTATATTGTTTTCATCCCTGTGGATGTACATGGGACTTAGAACAGCTCTTCCCTTCCCCTCCCTTACAAGTTCACTCCATCAACAAGCTGTCATCATTGAGAGATAGCAATATCCTGGAAGCTCTTCTGTTTCACCCCCTGCTGTTCTCACTGATAACATGACAGTTGTAAATCCTAAATGGAGTGATTGAAAACTAGTGTGTGTGTCTGTGTGTTGATATTTTGGTGTATAATAGCCTGTTAAAAAGGCGGCATATGGTTGATGAGGCATGGTATTAAGTGGCAGGAGATAGCATTCCACAGACAACTGACCACACTGACGGAAGCTGTAGAATGGTTAATATTTCCTCTGCTCTCCCTCCCCCGCCTGGCCTTCAGTCAGTTGGATAATAGCCATGTGTGTGGAGTATGTCAGTGGCATGCTTACTACTGCTGGATCAATTGTTGGCCAATACTGACTGGAGGCACTGCGGTGATCAGAGCTGCGGAGAGCCCACGGTCTTGACAGCCTTCAGTGAACAGTCAGAGGCAACACAGGGTTTAGGGCAGTTCTGATTGGTGGTTCGAACTCCCTATTGGGAACTTTGTCAGTGCAAGTCGTGTGCACACCTCTGGGATGACATCAATGTACTGTGGTAGAAGTTCCATCTCTTATTGATGGGAACAAGTGTCGTCGAGGCCGGGATGTTCTACCTCTCAGTTCCTCATTTGTTTCAGCTAAGAAGTTGCTAAGACCAGGCAGGTGTTAATTCATTAAACATTAACGAAGAGCTAATTAGATTCTTCCCTTTTCTACACAGCGTCGTGGACGTGTCCAGCACCATGTTGTCACAGCGGTGCACATACAGCGGTCAGTGTTGTCACCTAAATGTTCCAAACTCGGCTTACATCGAACTGCTTTCCTATGTCTAATTGTTGTATGTGTCACAAGTTTGATCTTGTGGATTTTTGTCATTCCAATATGCATGGCTCTTGAGAAGGGAGGAAGTGAACTCATGCAATGGCCAAACTCGCCAAACTAACTGACATTTTGAGTCACTGAGTGATATTCCCCCAACAGAGATCATGTTGAACTTTTTCAAAAGATCCCGGTCGCGATCTCCTTCGTTTGAGATTCCCAAACTTTGTCTACCTAGACAAAAACGGTCTACATCTGTAGACTGCAGTACCGCAAACCTTCAAGTTCCAATCGAGCCTCAAAGAGGAAGATCGTCAAGTTTTGACTCAAGTAGCCTACATGGGGATGAATTACTTCAAGTGCCGGTCAACATGCATGGCAGACGGTCACATTCCTTTGACTCTTCCCCTCCCTGGAACGGGGGATCATCCGATGAAAATATTTCTGACAAAGAATGTAGTCAAAGTTTGCGTGTGCCCAGGTATGAGAGGAGAAGAGCGTCTTTGGATATTCCTAAAGTTTGTTTACATTGTTTACATATGGAAAATTTGATGAAAGAAAAGGAAAAGGCGGATGCTGAAAGGTTGGAAAATGGTGAAATATCCAGTGACAGTTCGTCGTTGTTTGACGATTATGATGTTGGGGACGATGATGATGACAATTCCGCTGACATTTTTTCAAGTGACACCGAAGGGACATCAGGTAGCAAGGAGGAATTCCCCCAAATTGTTGAAGTTAATTCCAGAAACAGTAGCTTGGACTCGGATAAATTGTATCGAACAGCTGTCATGTTGGAGGTGCCGGTCATTAAACAGCGGTCATCGTCTATGGATGCAGCATATATGCCTTTACAAGTTCCCCAACAGGAAAGTCCCCGAAAAGCATCACTAGATGAAAGCTCACTGGATGTTCCTAAACAAATGCGATCTAGTTCAGTTGATATAAGTCTCCCCACTGAGGATAACAGTTCATACAAGGCCATAACCAATAACAAGTAAGTCTTCTCTTAACATGTATTAAAAATGTCCATTTCTTTTAGGAACACTCATTATAAAATTGTAGAAGAAAAAAATGAGCTCAATTACTGTTAATTCTAACTGGCAGTTCAGAGACTCTAAATTCCCCTTTTTTTTAAATTTGATATTCTCAAAGAATTGCCCAAAGGAATGAGACTTTTTCTTATATCTTTTATATTCAAAGTAGGTTATAAAAATTTGAGGTCACTGCAGGGAATATATGTCAATCTATAAGTTGTAAAGCTAAAAAAAAAAAATGACATGTTTGACAAAGTGGTGTCGCTTTTCCGTCACATTAATTAGTATTGATGGCGTGTTTGTCTTCAAATTTTGACACGTCTTTCAAAATTTCTTCATATTGGGTGTTTAATCTTTTTATTGCAACTGAGTCCTTAATGATTTTGATGGAAACTGTTCACCCTACTGTACTTGCCGTGTTGAGATGATATAGTTCGACAATGATCATAATGCAGTGTCGCTTTCATTATTGATATTAAGAAAATCGTTTAGTTGCTTTCGGCCTTTGGGCTCCTATTCCAAGCAAATAGTTATAAATGTGATTCTTTTATTATTCACAATGTCCCAACTTTATTAGATTTGCTGCTTCAATAATAAATACACACTGGTAGTTGTTGAATGTGGGTAGAGAAGAGGTTTTAACGTATTCACATTGTTGAACGTCCCTGTAGCTAGTCATTGGTGTGCAGTTGGTAATGCTGGTCACAGATGCATCATGGCAATGTGTGTAATGTGTGTGTCAATGAGCTGTGTCTCGTTCAGCCTACTCAGAATCATGTTTCATCACTGCAGGGCTCCTCGTTCTCATGGGCCAATGTTAGAGGATCATGTTGAGAAGAAAAGAACTGGGTGTCTATTTCTTGATGATCTGGGCTATGTTTGTACTGACTTGTCGTAGGTGGAGGCATTGTAGGTCAGGGGTAGTGCAGTACATCGGGAGGGAGGGACTGGGCGACATTTAGGTACCCCCCGGATTTGATTGGGGTAACAGAGGTTTGTGTAGGGGCGTCAGGTAATATTTAGGTACCCCTCGGATTTGATTGGGGTAACTGAGTACACAGTTGTAGGGAGGGTAATATGGTTGCCACAAGGGTTTGATCGGGGTAACTGAGTACACAGTTGTAGGGAGTGTAATATGGTTGCCACAAGGGTTTGATCGGGGTAACTGAGTACACAGTTGTAGGGAGGGTAATATGGTTGCCACAAGGGTTTGATCGCGGTGACTGAGTACACAGTTGTAGGGAGGGTAATATGGTTGCTTCAGGGGTTTGATCGGGGTTACTGAGTACACGGTTGTAGGGAGGGTAATATGGTTGCCACAAGGGTTTGATCGGGGTAACTGAGTACATGGTTGTAGGTAGGGTAATATGGTTGCCACAAGGGTTTGATCAGGGTAACTGAGTACACGGTTGTAGGGAGGGTAATATGGTTGCTTCGGGGGTTTGATCGGGGTAACTGAGTACACAGTTGTAGGGAGTGTAATATGGTTGCCACAACTGTTTGATCGGGGTAACTGAGTACACAGTTGTAGGGAGGGTAATATGGTTGCCACAACTGTTTGATCAGGGTAACTGAGTACACACTTGTAGGTAGGGTAGTATGGTTGCCACAAGGGTTTGATCGGGGTAACTGAGTACACAGTTATAGGGAGTGTAATATGGTTGCCACAAGGGTTTGATCGGGGTAACTGAGTACACAGTTGTAGGGAGGGTAATATGGTTGCCTCAGGGGTTTGATCGGGGTAACTGAGTAAACAGTTGTAGGGAGTGTAATATGGTTGCCACAAGGGTTTGATCGGGGTAACTGAGTACACAGTTGTAGGGAGGGTGATATGGTTGCCACAAGGGTTTGATCGGGGTAACTGAGTACACGGTTGTAGGGAGAGTATTATGGTTGCCACAAGGGTTTGATCGGGGTAACTGAGTACACAGTTGTAGGGAGTGTAATATGGTTGCCACAAGGGTTTGATCGGGGTAACTGAGTACACAGTTGTAGGGAGGGTAATATGGTTGCCACAACTGTTTGATCGGGGTAACTGAGTACACAGTTGTAGGGAGGGTAATATGGTTGCCACAAGGGTTTGATCGGGGTAACTGAGTACACGGTTGTAGGGAGGGTAATATGGTTGCCACAACGTCTGAGACCTGGTATCTCTTCGGGCTTTCCTCCCACACTAAGCGGACACGCCGCGATATAACTGGAGTACTGTTAAACGGCGTTAAACCCATCTCACTCACTCACTCTTTCCTGTGTGTCCAGATAAACATAAGAAAACTTTGATCAGATCTAAACCAGAATGTGTTCGCTTTTCACTCTGTTTTTTTCTTGAGAACTATTGTTTGATTTTTACTTTGTCCTGCCATGATTTGGAATATTGCTTTGAGTGATGTAAAATTGTTACTCATTCACTCATGACAACCAAGAGGTTTATGCCCTACTTTGCCCTGGAATATCAAAGGGTAAATATATCAACTTTTGAAGCGATTATTTTGGCTCTCCAAGGAGAGTTATTTCACCAGGAGGTATTGGTATGAGCCACTTAAGATTCCTTGGCTGGGTTTTTCTCATCAGTACATTTAATTTGCCAATCAGTTTAACTACAGAATGTAAGTTCCATTTCTCAAATTTTAAAACTCCTAATTGTATTCTTAACCAGTGAACAGTACTAAATGTGTTTTAAAGGATCAGAATGTCTCAATGTAAGACTAAACAGATCCTTGAGAATAATTTGAAAAAGGAGAAAACTCAAGTCTAGAATCATTTGGCAAGTCTAGTTTGCATCAGCTCAAGAAAATTAAGACTTTTTCTGGGTCTATTTGGATTTTATTTAGTACATATATATATACATATATTTTTATATAAAACAAATGTTAGTCTTGGCTAAACATTTCCCCTATGAACTTGTCACAGAGGAGATTGGGCAATGGGGTAGCCTTGCGGTTAATGTGTTTGCGCTTCATAACGACGACCCAGGTTCGATTTCCCACACAGCCACAATATGTGAAGCCCATTTCTGGTGTCCCTCAATGTGCTAAAATTGACGTAAAACTATATCACTCACTCATTGAGGATAGTCGATTGCTATAACGATCTGTTCACCTTTGGACAGTATTAGTTGGAATTAGAAGGAATATCCCCAATAGGTGCAAGTGAAGATGGATGTTTGTGTTTGTGACATCACAGTCAATGGAGTGGGTTGCTGCTCACAATATCAACCACTAGGTTGCCTGGTCCAGACTGTATTCACAGGCCATTGGTTGCCTGGTCCAGACTGTACACATAGGCCAATTGAATGGATCAATGCTCATGATGTCAGTCACTGGATTGTCTGTTATTTACAGACCGCCATCATATAGCTGGAATATTGCTAAGTGTGGCATTAAACAACAAACACACAAACAAACAAACATAAATCCTTGCTGCTCCATAAAACAACATCCTCTCAATCACTTCATCATCATCTTGTACTTGGCTATCCCAAGCGATATTGGCGCTAAGGTGATCGTTACTCACATACTTTAACATGGTCTTATGCAGTAAGATCACTTTGTGGATCAGTGCCCTGATCAGGACCTCTCTGAAGTGAAATATTAATGCCAACTGTATTTCATGAAAGGTTGAAGATAAAGGATATATATTTGTACTCTAGATAGCAATGCATGTATTTAGGTCAGGGATTTCACAATGTAGTTAGAACAATATGGTTTGGTCTCATTATGTTACGATTCATCAGACCAATGGGCTAGACCCATCAGATTTAGATTGAAAAACTTCATAATTTGGTCGTGAGAAAATTGTTATTGTGTGTATCCAATGAATAAACTGGTTGCTAAATAATTAACATCCTCAGTGGTGCTGAAGAGGAATTTAGTTGTCAGTATAAGGCTAGCACATTGTATCGTACACATTCCGTCCGCGGTAACCACGCACACTGAACCAGTGTTGAAAGATGTATCAGCTGTGGAACTAAACAATGATAGCATCAAATATTAATTCACGATTTGAACAACACCGATCTATTAGGCAGTCAGGGAAGGTTGGTGTAGTGAAGACACATGATGTGTTGGATGGTAGGCCACTTTGATGTAAGTTCAAACACTCAAGTGTTGCCATCTTGTGGGGAAACCATGCCAGGCAGCTGGGACACATTTGGAGGAAGAGTGCCCTGGGGCAGTGGGGGAAGGTGCTGGGGGAGGGGTAACTGAGAGGGGAGAGGTTGAGGGGATGGAATTGGCTTAGACACCTTTCTTTGTGCTCATCAAGTGAAAACCATTTATATTCCTCCAGTGATTTTCATCGCATATGAAACTGATTTTTATGAGCCTCAGTTTCTCTCTTGTAATTAGCTGATTTAGTTCGTTGATTTTCTTGGAATGTTATGAAGAATGTGAAACATTTGGGAATGTGAAAAATATTTAGGAATATGAAAGTGGTATTACTTTGAGAAATAATTTGTTTCTTTACATACAAAGGCATGCATAATAGATTCTACAAAAAGTTATAAGAAAAAACTATACACTTGCTTTGTAGATTTTCAAAAGGCCTTTGATTCAGTTGACAGATCACTACTCCTAACAAAGGTATTATCAAATAAAATCTCAGGAAATATATTTAAAATAATATCATCACTATACAGTGATATCTCTCATAAAGTGAAAACTGACAAGGGCATTTCACAATCCTTTAAATCCAACATTGGGGTACGACAAGGATGCATTGTGTCTCCCACATTATTTAATATATTCCTCAATGATCTTCCACATTATATCAAATCTGATAGCAATAATATAACACTTAATGGTTTCAACATTTGTCATTTGCCGATGATTTAGTTCTATTTGCCGATTCCCCCCAAAAACTACAAGTGATACTTGATGGACTAAGAGTATTTTGTGCCACAAATAACCTAAAGATTAATAGTGACAAAACAAATGTTGTAGTGTTTGGAAAATCAATTAAA